AAACATAAGCTCATATCGTTACAGTAGGGAGCACCTCTTTTTCTTTTCCATTCAAGACCCTCTAGATTGTATTCTAACAAATGGAAGCCAAGAAACATATTGGCAGGCACCATGAGGGGATCACTGCAGTAAGGCCATTTTTGGTTTAAAAAGAGAAATGTGACACAAGCATAGGCACCAGTGAACAAACATACCTGTGAATAGGAAATTATTTGTAGCATGGTGAAACTATTATAGACAAGATGAGAGAAACCTTCTGTGCCCTTCACCCTCTATAACAAGTTAAATAGCAGTAGGAGGGAAACCATGTATGCTGCTCTGAGCTCTGGAGGAAGGACAGGAATCAAAATAGAATGATTAAACCTCTGTTTTATCCCTTGGTTGTGCAGAATGACCTGACAGTGGAATGTATTGGGATATTTAGGATACAACTGTTAAAACATGGAAAATCACATCGACGTTTTGTGTAATGTGTAGAACTCTGGTAACATTTGTGTAGAACTCTGAGCTGTATTGAATACTGTGTTCTGTGTATGATTTCAGCACAATTCTTGTAATTTGTCTGTTGCTTAGATACTACCACAGGGTGCAGAATAGTTTCAGCTTTTGCTCTGTAACTCTAGGATTGGACACTTCACACATGTATTCGTGGATGAAGCAGGCCAGGCGAGTGAGCCCGAATGTCTAATCCCTCTGGGGCTGGTTTCTGAAACCAGCGGGCAGGTGTGTATTCTCCTCCCTGTAACTGAATCAAGCAACATTTTTCTTGAATTTCATTCCAGATGAACCTCTTCTAATTTTTCTTTCCTGATAAGTCACTTGGTGAAATGAACTTTGTTTCTGTGAAGAAGAGTCTATATTTGCGTTCTGCTGATTTAAACCAAAGCACATAAGGGATAAAAGTGCCAGTGTTTTTAATTTTTTAAGTATCACATTGCTGCACGACCTACCACAGTAGTGTATTAAACATTTTTAAACCACAGGCCAATGGTAGACCACATGCTTTCCATATGAGTCACAGATTCAGTCTCTGTATCTCCAGGTGCAGAAGCAATGGGTCTTGATAGTAGAACTGAGAGGGAGGTATCTGTGGGGGCCTTGGAAAACTGCTGTCAGAGAAGATGGTACTGGGCTAGAAGGGCCAGTGGTCTCACCCGAGCGAAGAGGCTTTCACATGTGTTGTGTCCAATTAATTTCTCCTTTTCCCCCCTCAACTCCTTATCCCCATTTGATGCATTATTGTTCTGAGTATGTTACAAATTCTTTCTGTAAACAAGAATAGTATAAGGCACAAACTAGCATATTTTAAAATGTAAACATTATACAAAATTTTAATTCTTGGTGTAAACTTTCATACAGAAAAAAGTATTTCTAATTTCAGGTTGTACTTTCGGGTGATCCAATGCAGCTAGGCCCAATCATAAAATCTAAGCTTGCTGCAGTTTATGGATTAAACGTTTCCCTGATGGAGAGACTGATGTCTCGGCCTCTGTATTTGAGAGATGAGGATGCTTTTGGTGCTTGTGGGTCATATAATCCTCTATTGGTAAGTTTAGAGGGGAGTTCTCTTCACTGTTGAATCTTAAATTCTTGTTTTAGCTTTTCTAATGCATGAAATTAGAGTTTAAATTTAGGGTACCATCTCAAGCAGTCTTTGTCTATATGCATCAGATCTCATGGCTGATGGCATAATGTATTTATTATAGTATTTGATTCTATGAGGCAGGTACATCTGATGTAGTGGATGCCGCCTCACAGAAGCTTATGCTATTCATTAGTCTTCAGGGACAAAATGCTGCTAGTCCTCTGGTATTGGATTTTGTACAAGGTAGATCACCATAAAGTAGTTCCAGGTGGTCAGCCATGCTGGTTTGAAGCAGTAGAACAAATTTAGAGTCCAGAGGCATCTTTAAGACCAACAAAGGTTTATTAAAGGTATGAGCTTCCGTGTGCATGCACACTTTTTCAAATACATTGGAATGGAAGGTAGAGTTCAAACTTCTAGACAGAGGCTGAACAACAAATTAACATGTAACATGATGAAGATGTTCTAAGATACCTTAAAACATCGTCATCATGTTTCATGTTAATTTGCTGATCTTCTTTATGGTCTCCGTGCATCACACCCTGGGATATAGTGCGCCTGCGCCGACCCTGATCGGTATTGTAGAAAGCTAAACGGATTTCCGCACCCGCTCCCCTGTCACGTGCCGGGCTCAGAGTACATGACATGGGGAGGGGCATGACTATCCCGCCAGTTCTCTTCTGACCACCGCACTGGTAGGACCTTCTACACCTCGGTCGGTAAAAAAGGACTTGGCTTCGGCCTCCTTCTCTCCCTTCCTAAAATTTGTAGTTAGCTAGTTTTTGTCGTAGTTTAGTTAGTTATGAATTTCTATCTTTGCTGTCTGCTTCGGCAGGACTTTTTTTCTATCCCCTTTTTCTGGCCTATGGCCAAACGGTGGGGTTTCTTTCGGCGGTGCTAGAAATGCGGTAGTATGATGCCCCCCCCCCCAAGATGGACACTCTCTCTGTTTATTGTGCCTTGGGGAATCACACCAAGTTGACTTCTGCACCCACTGTGCCAAATTCTCCCGGCAAAAATCAGGCAGCTAGACTTCGTGTGGTGCTACTCGAACGGGCTCTTTCACCTATGGCATCATCGCAGGAGACATTGGGACATGCCTCTATGTCGATTCAGGTGTCGGGATCGATGCTGGAACGGTCGCCGACACCAAGCCCACCCGATGCCGATCGCTTGGTGCTGAAACGCCCGATCCCGACTTCACAGTCCTCAGCCCATACACCCACGAAGAAAACCCGGTTGGGCAAGGACGGTCAGCCTGTCAAGCACAAGAAGCATAAGAAGGGTTCTTCTGCCAAGTCTCTGACACCCCAGTGCCGGACGGCGGGGATGAAGGCAGATGCAGCCACTTCGCTTGACTCCTCAGGCCGTGGGCAGCTACAGGGTGCACCTTCTTCACCCTCCCTACGTCCCATCCAGCTCACGGACTCTGAGCATACTATGGACCTGATGCAAATCTCCCACTCTCCAAGTCTTCATAGTCTACACTCGGACCAGGGAGTGGATAGGGCTCACCCACCCCAGCAGGACTCTGATGATCGGGATCGATCACCCGAACAGCTCCAACCTCCCTCCTGGGACTGATGCCAGTGGCAATACTTGTATGGGGTATACCCATTCCCTGGGGGCATGCCCTGGCTTCCTCTGCGACCACCCATGGATTGGGATCGACAGTCGACCTCATCCAGGCTGTCTCGATATTGAGACATTCCTCCAACACTGGAGTTCACGAAACTACAACTCTCAGTACTGATGAACAAGCCGCGCAAACCTACGCTATCGATACCGACGCACTCCAAGGACCACTCTGAATAGATACAATCGACACCGATTCTCCTGGCACCGTTCTCTGATCCTTCAGAGCGCTCTGGCTCTTCTGAGGACTCTCATTCTGGTGATGAGGATGTTCTCGTTCAACTTGAACAGTCCTCTCCCCAACAGGTGGAGGACAATCTTCCTATATCTCCATCGGAAGATGTTAAGTCTTATAGGGACTTTGTTAAACGAATGGCCAACACACTGGCACTTCCGACTATCCAACCTCTACCCATTGTTACTGACTCAGTCTTCGACATCGTCCAGATGGACACATCGACTGCAATCGCCCTACCCATAACGTCTGTCCTTTTACGAACGGCTAAAGCCCCCTGGGCACACCCCATCTCTGTTCCCATCTCCAACAGGAGGATGGACCATATGTATAAAGTACAGGAAATGGGAGCTGAATTTTTATTCATTCATCCTAAGCCCAATTCAGTGACTGTCACCTCCTTGTCAAAGGGGAAACGCAGCCACTCCACCCCGTCTGACAAAGAAAGCAGGAAGCTGGACTCTTTTGGCAGGAAATTGTATTCTGCTGGAGACCCTCACTTCTGCTATTGCTTTACGATGCCATGCCTGGCTACGTGTCACATTCTTGCAGCAGGACACTAAGTCAATCATTGAAGATCTTCCCTTTGAAGGTAATGGGCTCTTCAGCTCGTCCTTCAGGACCTCGACAAAAGTCTTAAAACGTCTCGCAATCTGGGAGTCTAGGTTTCTATTCGCATTACTTTACCATTCCAAAGAAGGACGGAGACCTCCATCCTGTCATGGATCTCAGAAACCTGAACCAATACATTGTTTACAAAAAATTTACATGACAACTCTACAGTCTATCCTTCCCCTTTTAGAGAAGGGAGTCTGGATGGTAACCTTGGACTTGCAGGATGCTTATTTCCATGTGTCTATCCATCCCACAGGATGTTCCCCCGTTTTGCGGTCAGCAATGACCACTTTCAGTACAAAGTCCTCCCCTTTGGGCTCTCTACTGCGCCTCACGTTTTCACCAAGGTAATGGTGGTCATTGTGGCTCACCTTCGGTTGCAGGGCATACAAATTTTCCCATACATCGACTATTGGTTGTTGATTGCGGAGTCTGAGACAACCTTGCTTGAACACATTGCTTTAAACCTCGACACCCTATCAACCTCGGGATTGTGGGTAAATCTAAAAAAGTCGATCCTCATCCCTTTCACTCGGGTGCAATTCATCGGCGTAATCCTAGACTTGACACTCTGCAGAGCTTTCCTTTCCCCCAAAAGGGCAGAGGACATTGTCACCCTCATTGGCCTCCTCAGAAGACAAAGGATGGCTTCAGTGAGGCAGATACAATGCTTGTTAGGGCTCATGGCTGCAACTACATCGGTCCTTGTCTTTGCCAGACTTCGAATGAGACCACTCCAACTTGGGTTCATTCAAAAATTCCACTCCTAGTACCAACCTCAGTCCCTACGCTTCACTCTTCCGGGACACGTCCTAATCTCTCTCTTTTGGTGGGAAGACAGGCAGAATCTACTGGAGGGAGCTCCATTCCAACATCTGGAACCGGTATTCACCCTGACCACGGATGCATCTCTCTGGGGCTGGGGAGCGCATCTTCAAGTTCTGTGTGGGGGGGCGCAGTGGGACCCTCGAGTAACTCACCACCACATCATCTTTCTGGAGTTATTAGCCATTCAGTACGCCCTAAGATCCTTCCGCCACCTAGTGACCCACCAGGTAGTTACGGTTCTCACCAACAGCACCATGGCACTCTGTTATCTCAACCGTCAGGGTGGGGCAGTGTCCAGGAGCCTCTGTTGGCTGGTGACGGAAATTTGGAACGAGTGCCAGTCATGGGGCATGTTTCTAGTGGCAGCCCATTTACCAGGAACCCTCAATGTGCAGGTGGACTTCCTGAGCAGAGGAGGTGTGTCATGGCATGAGTGGAAGATCAATTGGTCATATCTATTCCCAATTTTCCAGAAGTGGGGTCATCCAGATGTCGATGCATTCGCAATGTGCGAGAACAAGAAGTGTCGTCTGTTTTGCTCCGGAGTAGGAGGAAATCTGCTCTTTCTCAGGGATGGTCTCCTTTATCCATGGACTCAGATACCTGTTTCTTTTCCCGCCCTTTCCCCTGCTCACCAAGGTGGTAGCCAAAGTATTACGGCAAAGACCACGTTGCAGCCTCATAACCCCATGGTGGCCCAGACAGCACTGGTTCCCCATTCTCCTGCACATCTCCAAGGGCTCCTTCCTCCATTTTCCACCGGTGCCGGATCTCCTTCTTGCACAGGACAGGTAGGTGCATCACGACGTGCCACATCTGAAACTGATGGCATGGAGAATTCTGTGGCAGCACTCAGAGACCGAATAGAATATGTGCTCTCTAATTGTCGTAAGCCTTCGACTAGAGCCTCCTACGCTGGAAAGTGGAAGGCTTTTCTGTCGTACCTACATCTGTTGGGGCTACCTCCTCGCCCCACTGATCTAGTTACAGTGTTTGGGTTTTTGTTATCACGTTTGGATTTAGGCCTCAGTTTTTCATCATTGTGGGTATACTTGGCAGCCATCTCAGCTAATCACCCTGAGTTGGACAGTCATTCCGTCTTCTCACGCCCGAGGACCAAGCAGTTTCTTAAAGGGCTCACACACCTGTTTCCCCTGTCCCGGGGCCCTGTGCCAGCTTGGGATCTTCCCCTGGTACTTACCTAGTTGGTGGGCAGACCTTTCGAGCCCATGGCTACCTGTAACCTACAGCTTCTCTCCTGGAAGACTGCCTTCCTGGTAGCGATTACCTCGGCCAGAAGGGTGAGTGAATTGTCAGCATTCAGGTGTGACTCTCCGTACCTGACGTTTCATAATGATGGTGTTACCTTGGCCCCAGATGTCTCCTTTCTGCCCAAGGTAGTTTCGGCGTTCCATCTCCGAGTGGACATTGTTCTCCCTGTTTTCTTCCCAACACCGTGATGAAGAACGTTGTCTTCACTCCCTAGATGTCAAGAGGGCTTTGCTCTTCTACCTGGACAGAACACAGCCTTTCAGAAAGACCCCAGCTCTGTTCGTCTCTCATGTGTTACCTTCACAGGAGAAGAAGTTATCCTCTCAGCGTCTCTCCAAATGGATCGTGGAGACAATCAGACTTGGCTATCTGCTCGCTAAGAAGCCGCTCCCGGGTCCACTACGAGCACATTCCACCCGGGCAATTGCGACATCCACGGCCTTCCTGCGAGGTGCATCACTTGGTGACATCTGCAATGCGGCGACCTGGGCTTCTCCTCACACGTTTGTGAAGCACTACACCCTAGACTTTCGTCTTCATCAGCGTATGATGGTGGGATGGGCTATGTTGCAGGCGGTGCATGTCTAGGACCTTCAGCACCCTCCTCCAGATAGGTGGTTATTGCTTTCTAGTCTCCCAGGGTGTGATGCACAGAAACCACGAAGAAGATAAACAGGTTTCTTACCTGTAACTGATGATATTCGAGTGGTCATCTGTGCATTCACACCACCTGCCCTCCTTCCCCTCTACTTTCGATCCTTTCCTTTTGCTTTGTGACTTGAGGGCAGCGGTCAGCAGGA